GTATAAACACCAAAAAATCTGCATGTTTCACTGTAACCTATATGTGACTTGAACACTTAAATTGGCAATCTGATCTGAGTTCATCCAGCCGAGACATGATCTCATAATTTCAGTGCTACAGCAGCTCAGCAAAAAGGAAACAAAGATGGAAAAGAAGACAGAACAGCAGCTGAGATGATTTAGTGATGCTATTTAAGAGTCTGGTAATATGATATGCCTCACGATACAGGGGTTACGATTAAATATATAGCCATACTGTAAGCAAAGTGATATAGTGTGATTTAAAAAAAAAATAATAATAATTTTAGTGGTAATTTTTTCATAGTATCAAGAACACACCGCCATCTTCACAAGAATAGATAAATAAAGTAATAAAATTGACTTTTATTGACAAATATTTGCATGTAAACTATTAATTTAAAATAAATATACAGTGTTTTTGAGAATCGATACAGTATCATAAAACATAGACATAATATAAACATAAACATAGTATCATCATACTCAAGTGTATCGATATTTTCTAACACCCCTAGTATGTAAGAAAATGAATCAGCTTTGTATTTGCATTTGTTGGAATAAGATCAAAAATGTGTTCGCTATCGTCAGCACTACTAGGGCATAAACTGAACAGGTTTGGCCTGAGGATGGCACCAGTTATTAGCTACTGTATGGTGGCCATTTTAGGACATTTCAGACTCAGATCGTCAGGCTTGGCTCTATATTGTCAGAATTTGCTCAGGTTGTATTAGTCTAAGTTGGTTTATGTTGGCCTCAGCTGCACTCAGCTCTGGTTTGAGCTGAAATAGAAGTCCAAGTTAGCTGAGACTGACTCTTTTTTTCTTGTTTTAAAGGCACCTTTTTATGAAATGAAGGGTTGGACAAGTAGAAATTCTGACTTTTTGTTGGCAGAGAGGAAAAGTAAATTCAGTATGTCGGATTGGTAACGCTAACATTCATTCAGTCACAGCAACTCAGTTTTTATTGCCACAGTAATCTCTGGCCTCGTGTTGTCTTATATAAAAATGATTCCAGTCAGTTTCATTCAGAGAGGTATATTGGTTTTCAATTAAATGTGGGAGAAAGACAGCACTGGTATTGTATTGGTACTTCCTGAGTTGAGTTACTGGAATTACTATTGAGAGAGAACTTTGGATTGGTGCATCCTAACACCAAAGTAATCAAGATTCAGTCCTTTAACCTATTGCCACCCCTCATGAGTTATCTTTTGTCACAGTCAATCTGCATGTATTTCTTTTTCGTATGTTGCCATGAGTTTATATTTGTATTTGACTTTACAATAGAGCGACTATCATCAGAAATTACATGAGAATATTTCAGAATACTCAGCTCAGTCTCCGTCTATTTCTGTCCTCTCCACAGTGACTGACTGAGTGCGGCAGCATGCTCTTTGGGCTCTACATGCACACTCCATGGTCTCTCTTATGTAAGCGTTGCTGAGTAATACTAGTGGTGGAAGGAGGAGCTTTCAGTGTAGGTCAGTCAGGTAACTACGGGTGGGTTTTGCCTTGAAGCTGCAGAGAGAAAGATCAGGAAGCTCGACTTGACAGACTGAAACTCTTCACCCATCTCATCCGACCTGACAGTTAGGCCACTGTCACATGAGGCCAGACATTCAGTTGTGCACTGAGATTGTTATTGTCTATTATACCACCTGTGTCACAGCTTTTGAAGCAGTGTGTATGATCAAGCCTGTTTTTATGCTACAGTGCTGATTTATCTGTGTAATTCTCTGCATTATTACATTCCTACTTTCTGTGTGTGTGTTGTAGATGGGAGGAGGAGTACACTGCCAGAATGGACCTGCAGGAAAAAGTGGTTGAACTGGAGGAGGTAAAGTGACTGTATTACCGAACTGCTCCAGTTCAGAACTCCATTAATACGTTCTCTTTCTTCAGAAATGGTTTTGGTTTTAAGATGCAATCAGCTTTTAATTAAAGCCGCATTTTCCTGCTTGCAAAATGTAGCTCTAGTTCTTCTGAAGACATCTCGGCCCCTCTTCTTCATCCAAAGGATGAAAACCATAATGGCAGGAAACAACTGGCTTTATGGCACATGTTATCTTTATTTTGAAATACATCAAATGCTATGTGAAGTCGTATATAACAATATACACAGCGAATAACATTCTCACAATGAGATCGGAGAGCGCCTACCAATCGTCTGGGGATTTCTGGGGAAGTAGTTGCTTGAATGGCCGATAACAAACGTACGTCCCTTACTTCAAGCATGCGCCTTACCTGAAACAATCCTCTGCCCCCATTCTCCTCCGTAATTAATCAAACTGGAGATATAGCAAATCATTTTTTATATTTCGATTGTAGGCAATCAGGAGTCTGATATGTAGCTGAAACTTATATTTGTAGTTAGACAGAGAATAATATTGTCAACCACTGTCATTAATCTTAGTATTTGGGACATAGCTTCATACTGTGTGTGTCTGTGTGTGTTTTTCAGGACCTGCAGGAGAGCGAGGTGTGTCAGGATGAGCTGGCTCTGAGGGTGAAGCAGCTGAAGGCCGAACTGGTCCTCTTTAAAGGACTCGTCAGCAACGTAAGTCTGCTCTGAGCTTCTAAACAGGTAAAATGAGCAAAAGATTCAGAAATAAACAATATTCCACAGTTTAGATTTTGTCCCTTGTTTTGATTCATTTAGTTTTAAGTTTGTAATATTAATATTTAGTATTTGGGGGCTTATTGCCTTTTAATCGATAGTGACAGCTTAAGAGTAACAGGAAAGGGGGAGAGAGGGAGAGAGGGGGGATGATACACAGCAGGGCCCACAGGTCGGAGATGAACCTATGGATCCTGCAGCAAGGACTCAGCCTTGGTACATTCGGTGCAGCTCTGCCAGGTGAGCTACCAGGGCGAGTTCATCCATTTAAATCTTATTTTAAAGCTCTCATCAGAGATAATTGGGGATGTGCTAGCAGAGGGTGTATTGTGTCTCTGTGATGTAGAAGAAAGTGCGTGTGATCAGGGTATGCCATGACTGGTTGGTCCTAGCTGTTCTCCATGGTAACATATTGGTGGACACCTCGCTGAGTCATGACAGTAAACATAACACATCAGTTTATATTATTTAGATGGATGTGAGATAAGTGAGAATCCTTTCTGTCTCTCCATTAGAACCTGTCAGATCTGGACAGTAAGATCCAGGAGAAGGCCATGAAGGTGGACATGGATATCTGCCGCCGCATCGACATCACCGCCCGCCTCTGTGACGTGGCCCAGCAGAGGAACTGTGAGGACATGATTAACATGTTCCAGGTATGTTAGTTTGGTTATGAGTGTCTGCAACCAATCATCCACCTTCACTTTTAAATAAACAGGTATCCTTCCAGCAGGTGGCCACGCCCCCCTCCACGCTGGGAGGCCGGGCCAGAAAACAGAGCGGGCAGTCGGCGAAGGGCGGGGACGGAGACGAACTGAGCATGTCTGAGAGCGAGGGAGGCGGGGCTAAAGACGAGGAGTCGTGCAGCACGTCGGCCAATCAGATCAACGAGCAGATGCATCGGATGCTGAATCAGCTGTAGGTGTTTTGGCCAATCGCGTTTAAACAAACTGATGTTAAACCTGGTAGTCTAATGTGTGTGTGTCTGTGTGTCTGTGTGTGTGTGTGTGTGTGTCCAGGAGGGAGTGTGAGTTTGAGGATGACTGTGACAGTCTTGCCTGGGAGGAGACGGAGGAGACTCTTCTGCTCTGGGAAGATTTCCCTGGATACCCACTGGGACTGGAAACACAAGGAGAGGTCCGTAAACACGCGCACACACACACACACACTCGTACGTTTTCATACCCCTCACTTTTTGCACACTCAGTATCTCTAGGATATGTCTACAAACATCTTGTTTTGTCCAAATCTCAAAGATAATCCAACTCAACTCGCTATTGTTACTCAGCGCTACGTTACACGTTTGCTCTGATTGGTTGTAGGTTTACAGGCTTTAAAGTATTGACCGTTATCGTTTCCCATAACAGCTTCACTGTAGAACATTGAGTTGTGCTCAGAATGACTGGTTGGCTCCTGAGCTCACCTGCAGTATACGGTAGCTTTCTGTTGTGCATGTTTGATAAAAACTAGAATATAAAGTGGTAGAACGGACAGCTCAGAAGTAGGAAATTGTTAATTATTGCTATTCCTTAAAAACAACATATAGCGAGACGTCAAAGCCACAGCAGCATTAGATGAAACTTGTGAACTGTGTATAATAGAGAAGCAGTGAGTGAACACCCAGGAGTCGCTCAGGCTGCAGCAGCACCGTCCCCTCCCAGCTCCGTACAGATCTGTTTTCCCACCGTCAGGGAAGCCACTGGTGTTTCCTGTCAGGGGCACTTTGACTTTGTCCCACTTGGCTGAGCTGACCTGGTGGACCAGCTGTTTTTAAGGCAGCAGGTTCATGCTTTTGTTGTTGAGCTCAGTGCGATGATGCAGACAGCTCGAGTCCATCCGGGTGACCTGTGAGCTGTTTTTAACTAAATAAGCCAGAGAGGGTAACGACCCGCTTAGTGTAGAGCTGAAAGACGCTGCAGGAAAACCAAAACAGATTAAAAGACCTTCACACAGCCGTGGTGCACTCACACAGGGTGTTTGGTTAATTTAACTGCAAGCTTGTATCTCATTCTCGATAGATTATTATTATTATTGCCAGAAAAAAGTTATCAGTGTTTTAATAATTGCTTAATCGTTTAAGTCATTTATGAAGGAAACAACAAGAAGACAACTTTCAAAGTTACTAGACTGCTTTATTGTTGACGGCCATGTTCACAATAAGCTTCATGCACAATGACAACAACAACAAAGTTTCTTGCTTCTCAAATGTGAGGATGTGCTGCTTTTCTCTGTTTCTTATATTTGTATGTTTTCAATATCTTTTAGGTTTTGAACTGTTTCTTCAGACAAAATAATCAATATAAGACGTTACCTTGGGTTCTTTTTTTCTGCCATTTTATATAACAAACAGCCAAATTAAACAAAACTAATTGCCAGATGTAGTAAACTGTTCTGTGTCTATTGAGGTTTTGTGGAGATCCACTCTGACTGAGACTGTAGTTTGTGATTTTTATTCTATATTTATATCATATTGTCAGATCCTACATACCATTGGTTTCTTCACTCTGCTCACTAGGGTTTAATTTAACCAGTGACAAGACACAGATAAACAAGTGTTACATATATGCCAACCGGACCCAAAACACACATTTTATAAAAAAAGAAAATGTAATAAATAAACATGAAATGAACATTTTTTTATTCCTTCTCTCCTCCACGTCCACTCACTGTATCCAGCTGCAGCAGCAGGAAGAGTCCATTGAAGAGGTCATTAAAGACACAGAGTGTCTGTTTAAAACCAGAGAGAAGGAATACCAGGAAACCATCGACCAGATAGAGGTGAGTCATTTCTTCTGCATTGCATTATGGGACAAACATACATACATCATACTGGTTTTATTCGTAACTTGAGTGCTCAAAGTTGAGGTAATTATGTTTTATCCATCTTTTGTTGCCACGGAGTAGAGGCACGAATCAACACTGTCATTACAGTTTAGAACAAAAGGCTGCATCATAGTTACTGAATTCACCCAGAAATTAAAGATAAATTGATTTTGGCAGAATTTTAAGCCCAAATGTACCCTGGGAATCGTAGTGAATGTCTTCTTTTTGATTCAAGAACCAGATATTTTGTAACACAGTTGTTCTGATGATTTAACGGTGTCTCGTAACATTGTCTATGGGGAGAAATTAATGGGACCAGAGGCACCCGAAATAGCTCCTCCCACTTCCCATCTCTATACTGGTATTAATTGAAGTAATTGGAGCTAATTGTGTCAGTGTTCATGGGTTTAACGGACAGCGTTTTCTCTCCTGGTCAGTTGGAATTGGCCACAGCAAAGAGCGACATGAACCGTCACCTGCACGAGTACATGGAGATGTGTTCGATGAAAAGAGGCCTGGACGTCCAGATGGAGACCTGCAGGAGACTCATCACACAGAGCGGAGACAGGTAACACACACACACACACACACACACACACCCTCCCTGAGGGGACCTGAGGCAGTGTAATCCAACTAGGATGACTTCATTTTGGACGGCGGCAGAGTTCTGAGTTTGTGATGCTGTTAAATTCTGTTACTTTTTACTGAGTTTTTTTTTATATTTTATCCACCTTCTACCCCTGGTATAAATGGGGTGGACAAAGTAACAGAAACATCTCCGTTAAACTCAATAAAACTCAACAGCATCACAAACTGCAGCCATCAGTAGGATTTACTGCAGGGTTGTTGTATTAGACTGCATTAAGCTAGGTGTACCTAATTGTTTTACTAGACATTTTCTAAATTAAGAGACTTGAGAAAACTCAGATAGTCATACATACTCTGAAAGACGTTTTGGTGCTCAGGGCTCTGGGATTGTGCATGCTGGGACACTGAAATAGAAGCCATTGTTAATGATATGTTACACCCAACAGGTTTTTAGTTCCAAACTAAGATAAGATCTAAGAACTAAGATCAGTTTTTGGAAATGGAAACAAATTCTTCATTTAGGTGTTTTAGAGCACCAGCAAATAGTGTTGGCCTGGAATTCTAAACATTCAACTTCCTATTCTTCAGAGATCTCCAGGATTTATCTTTCAGGAAAACATACTCAGCTGTGAATATAAGGATTATACGTGAGAGGAACTAACTGGTGCTAGTCTTAACTCTGCCACATTAATCTCATGTCTTCTCCCTCTACAGGAAATCCACCTCGCTCATCACGCTGCCGGTGGACGACTCCGACAGCGAGGAGAAGGAGAGGAAGAAGCCAGCTCTCCCTGCTGACTCTGAGAGCAGCGACTCTTACTGCGACGCCAACGCCGCCATCCCTCCTCTGACCTGGAGGAAACCCTAACACACACTCCAACATACACTGCTGGTACTCCAAATTAACGTCACCCCAATGCTCTCCTCCTCCAGTGCTGTTTGATAGGAGGAAAACTGTAGTACTTCCACACATTTAAACTTATGTTTCAGTGGTTTCTGTTATCTAAAGTAGAAATTATTTTAAAACCAGCAGATGTAAACTGTTTTTTTTATCTTCTCTGAAAGCAGCCTGTATGATGATGTTTGGTCATTTGTACAAACTCAGCTGATATGACCGCAGCTGAATTAGAGAAAGCTATGATAAAGTTACACCAATGTCCTTACAAAACCATAACTCGCTTACAAAGCTGATGTAAAATATTAAACATTTTCCAGGCTGTTCGAGCTTCATCGAAAAAGGCAATAATTCCTCACTTGAAGTTCCGCTGCTGCCCTCCTGTGGTCATCAGCGGTAACTGCACCTTAGTGAAGGTCAAACGGAACAAAATGGCACTTTAAAAAGATCTTCACTGATTTTGTTTGATGAGATGAAAAGGACACATTTAGTTTAGTGCAGGAGCCAATTATTTGCACACTTTCTGTAAGAATACCTTTCAGCTGCAGGTTCAGACCCTCGCACATAGAGGCACAAAGAAATAGTTTGCACATAACTGTTCATTGTGATTAAGAGTGATCATATGTATGAACAGCTTTACTAATCAGTTTCCACTTATTATAAAAAGGAAGTGCTTGTTTTTATTTATATTTGTATTTTTATTTATTTTATAATCCTGCACAGCAGAAAGTTTAATTCCTAAAATATGAAACTACCCAGTGGCCATTTTCTGGGATTATACTTTAGGTGCAGCAATTATTTGACAGATCTCCAACTATCAAAGCCCAACTTGCCTTAAACTGCTATCCAACATTTGAGAAATATGACACCTTCTCTGATAAACTGTCCTGAGAATGCATCTTAATTCACTGAAGTTAAAAGAATATTTTTTAAAGTAGACATTTGGGAACTCAATCTCAGATCTCTGAATATGAAACTCTAAACAACACTCAGGGTTGTAGCCGTTGAGGACAATAAGGTAACAATATTGTTTCTGGAAATTTGGTATTTTATCACTAAGGAGCCGTTTATGTTCTACCGTTACAGACAAATTACACATGCTGGGTTTTTAAAGAGGAAATCTTTGAATCTTTTTGGGTTCAAATAAAATGAAATGAGGGGATTTAGTATTTCATGATTTGTGGGAAATTAATTGAACCACCATTTAGGACAGCAGTTCCCAACACGCGGCTTTGGAAACCTCTAAGGGGGTCACAAGATGACTGATTGGACAAGAAAGTAAAAAATATATTTTTTTTTTATTCTGTAATCTTTGCTCTTTTTTAGAGTTATTCTGACTCGTCAGGCCTCTACAATTTACCCAATCTGAGAGGCTAAAATCACTCTTTGCTGCTAATTGCTCAGGCAACCTGTGTGAGTACACATGGTTTCATTTAAAGGGATCACAAGCCAGAAAATGTTGGGAACCACAGATTTATACCATCATGTTGGTAGATCAAACAGATTTTTGGGGGGTTTACTGGAGGAATTTGGACTCAGTATTTCTAAAACCCTGGCTACAGTCTGACCACACTGTCCATGTTAATATCATTCTGTAGTAAACAGGCTGATCTACAGTAATATCCATTCCTGAGACTCTTTACATCATCAAGCAGGAAGAAGAAAAGATGATTATTTTAATAGATTTTCTGTTTTACATTTGACAGATGGGAGGTTTAGACAGGTGAAAGACAATAATAATAATGATGATAATAATAATAATAATAATAATAATAATAATAATAATAATAATAACCTGTATAAAACGAAGATATAGGGCTGTAACAAATGATTACGTATTTTCATTATCGAATAATCTTACCATTATTTCTATAAAATGTAAAGAAAAACAGTCAAAAGCCAAAGATCTTCAGTTTGCTCCCACAGAAAACAAACAAGCAAATATTCATATTCCAGGAGCCAATGTGGGGTATTTATGCCTAAAAATTGCTAAACAATTATCAAAATTATTTCTGATTAATTTTCTGTCAGTCATTAAACTGTCAGTTCTTTACAGCTTATAACCGAAGTCTGTTTGCTTAACTGAGTGTGAGTTTAGTTTTTAGAGTCCAAGGATTCTCACAGCTGCTTAATTTAAGGGAAGGTGTCGTATTTATGTGCCATCAATCACAAGCCAACGTCCCCGCTCTCAGCACTAATGGAGAATCATCGCTCTTAAAGTCCCACGCGACACATTTCCTACATTTGTCCTGCAGAAATAACTGGCGACAGATTCGTTAGAGAAAACGAACTCGTCTGTGATTTTGAGACAGTTGACAACAGAAATTTAAGGGCATTTTTTCTTTTACTAAAGTGAAAAAAAATAAACTATTTTAAAAAGGTATTTGTCCTCAAAAAATGTACAGTTTGTAAAGGCTAAATATTGTATCTAATGTACATAATGAGGCTGTGTATAATGCTCAACTATAATGCTGTAAGCTTCATGTTCTTCTGATGTAAGTTTAGCCAAAAGCAGTGCAGTTTACCATTTTCTTTAGACCATCTTTTAGTTTTAGCGTTATTGATATGACCTGAATTAGACATATTAGTAGTATCATAGCGACTAAGAACAGTTGTCTTTCTGTAGTTGTTTGAGAGCAAATACACCTGCAGCAATGATTAAAAGGTGAGGTACTTTTTGAAGACGTAGGTACTTATGTGGAAGATTGAAGCCATTTTGCAGGAGGTGTGTTTAAAATTCAGGATTTTTACTTTGTCTGTGCCAGTTTTCTTACTTTTTGTTGACATGCAGCAACCAACGTGTCACAGTTTACCTTTTCAAACACATCTGTGATTAAATGAATGTCTGCTTATCAATAACCTGCCATGTTCACCACAGAAAACAGACTCATTAAAGGAACACTTTCAGTTTTAGTCCTGTTGTTTTCTCCACTGAGCACACTTCTAATCACATCAAAATGAGACTAATAAACCCTGAAAATGCTTGTTTCCGTATACTACACTTTAATTTTACACTTTTTACAGATAGTTCTTAGTGCTCAGAGAAGAAATGGACTAAAATATTGAGAACTGTTCCTTTAATGTCAAGGAGAAACTAAACAAAGCAACTTGCAAGTGTACAGTCTACATTAAAGCAAAATAGACAAACATCACTCACCTCGTGAAACTGTGTACAGATGCTGCTTAACCGGAACTGTTGACATCTATATTATCAGAATGTAAATAGAATCTGTGGAGAGAAAACTGAAATAATAAGTGTGAAAGGAAAAAAAAAGACTTGAGGACCTCATGAAAGCGAGTTAGACCGTGTGGTGGAGATAAAAGCTTTAGATTATACAGGAAGTAGACAGCAGGAGCCAAATAAGCTGAAGAACACAGTTTCTGAGCTCTCTGTGGCTGTTTGGGGGATTTTATGAGCTGGGATTGAATTCTCCATCACGCCACAAGGGTTTTTCATGAGGTCTTTAACGTTTGTTTTTTCCTCAGTCACAGTGTGCAGAGCTGAATGATCAATTTACTGAAGCAAAATGAAAAGTTGCACAGAATAAAAGACTGAAAGAGCCTCTGTTGTGAGAGTTTGTTTACAGCGGCAGACATGCCCAAACATTATTTACTGGATTTCCACTGGATTGGAGCTACAATATACTTTGATTCCACCACATTTTATTACACATTTACAGTTACTAGTTTTTTCATTCATAAAAGTATTTACACAGTATTTACATCCACTGTCTCACATATCGACACGTTTTAATCGGCTCTAGTTTTTAAAAGTTCAACCACTGCAGGACTGACACTTTTAATCTAAAATCTGGTTTTTATCCAGTGGCTGTGAAGAAAGCAAGAAGACTGTCAGGGCTTTGTTTGTCAGTGTAAACGCTCGGGTCAAGTGCAGGTTAAAGCTACACCCAACAGGGAAAATGGTGAATCATCGCACTACTTCTAACTGGGAGGAGCCGGTGGGAGCTTCAGATTCCTTTTATACTCACTGTATGTACTTATGCATTTAAATAAAAGATATATAAGTCAGTCACATGGCTAAAGGCCTCACCTGTAACCTGAATAGTCAACTGTGTGCTACTGAATCAGAGGGCAAAGCAAAGGGGCAGAATAGAAATATTTATTTTTAAAAGTTAGACATTAAATTGAAATATATATTGAGATCTCTCAGCTTAAGTAACGTGTCCCAAACTGTTGGGATCTAGTTAGAAACATTCACATTTACCAGCTGCAACATTAAAAGGGATTCTTACAAGTTAATGAATCAATAATTATGATCCAGTGATGTAATATTTATATATATAAAACATTCTGAATAATGAGGTTTTTTTACTTTTAGTACTATTTTGATGCTGATGCCTCTGCAAGGTAGTTATTATGTGTATGTAATAATTTGATACATTATAAGTTTACAGGTGAATTTATCAATAATCTATAACAATCTTAAAGGGATTACTCTGCATTTGGAGTACTTTTACTTTTCTAAAGCCTACTTCAGTACACTACTCGAGTATGAACTGCTGCTACTAAAGGAGAGAAATACTTCCTCCACTGGTTGTTTAGTCCCATTACACAAAACTAAACACTGAACAGCAATACAGTCATTTATTGATTAGTTACACTAATTACTAGAATGTATTTGGGCAGCACTGATCAGCTCTATTAGTTTCAGTTCAGTCGTCTCGCTCCTGTAATGATCTGATATTAATTGCCTGCTGCTCAGACGCAGCGGGCCCAAAGCAGCGAAACAAACAGCTTCACAGTGAATCGATGTGGAGGAACAAACAGCGAAACAGCTGCAGAAAGAAGAAGGAAACCGCTGAGGAAGAAACAGCCGAGCTGCTTCAGCACAGCAAATCCTCTGCTGCAACATACTCACAAAGTAATCAAGTACATTTACTCAATGACTGTACTTTACAATATGCAGATACTTTATACTTCAGTGGGAGATATTGTACTTTACATTTATCTGACAGCTTTAGTTTCTACGTTTATGAGTCAATATATGAATCAGTTTATTAAATATAACACATTTTATAGATTAACAAACTTTTTCATATCAAGGACCCCCATAAAGGTTTTACATCAGTCCATCAGTTTGAGAGTATTCTGTTTTAAGAAATTCCCCTTTTTGGGTAATTTTGGTTTAAAGTCTACAGAGTGGATCAATAATCGAACTGAAGTGTACTGCTACTTTACTGAAGTAACTGATCTACATACTTCTCCCATAGCTTGACACAGTACGGTAAACAAACGTATAGTGCAGTACAGTGTGGAACATGGTACCAAGTTTGAGGTAGTTTTTTTGCTCTACTCGACTACATTTATCTGATTCTGTAAATGAAAAATTAACTTAATGAATGAATTGTCAAATATTAAACTGACTACTGCACATTTATATGTGCACATAACAAAGCTCCTTAAACTTTATATTAATGCACCTATTGATCATAATTCAAACATAAAATAATAAACATTTTATTTTTTTATATTTAAAAAGGTACTTTTTTACTTCAGATTTAGGATTTAAGACTTTATTTGTCTCATGAAAAAGATAAATAATAATAAAAAAAGATAATAAATTTTAGATTTTAATGTTGCCTCAACGCAAATTATCTGCTGAGTAAATATTTTACTTGTAACTGAGTATTTTTACACTCTGGTGCTGCTATTATAGATTATTAATAATATTATAATACTGAACTATACTTTATAATACTGAACTATAATACTGAACTATACTTATAATACTGAACTATAATACTGAACTATAAATACTGAACTATACTCTATAATACTGAACTATAATACTGAACTATAATACTGAACTATAATACTGAACTATACTCTATAATACGAACTATAATCTGAACTATACTTCATTATAAAGCACTACTCTGAACTACTGTGGGTCCTTGGAGTCAGGGGCTGCTGCTGTGTGGACAAGATTTACTGCTTACCTGAGTGAACACCTATTGACTGACTACAGTGCCATGGCGCATGCGCGGCACCCCTTCAGCGCTATTTCAGGCAACAGTCTGTTAATATAAGTGACGACAAATACTGATTTCCCTTAACGGATTATTACAGTGTGTGTGTTGTGTGTGTGTGTGGTGTGTTTGGCGTGTGTGTGGTGTGTTGTGGGCGGGCGATTAGTGTGACCGCAGAGATTCTTTTGTCTGAAAAGAAAAAAGTGAATTAAGAGGAGAGAGACTGAATCATCCTCCATTTATATTCAACTGGGAAATCTCCTCCCCTCTCTCTCTCTCTCCTCTTCTCTCCGCTCTCTCTCTCACCCCTCTCAACCCCTCTCGTCACCCTCTTCTCGTCTCGGACTTCAGATTATCTCCCCATCATCCTGCCGCTGAGATGTGAGTACTCCAACATATTTTGCTTCATTTTAAAATAATATATAAAGCAGAACTATAGGAATATCCTATTTATTAACCTACATTAAAGTAATTACCACACACACACACACACACATTGTGTAGAACATCCCCTGTGTGAATGTATTAAAGCTGCACACTGTGAGTTGCAGTTGATATTTTCTGTCTGTCGCTGCTTTTTATGGCGTTTATTCTGCTCAGATGAAAGGTTGTCCTGTGTGGAAATATCTGGAAACAGTGACTCACCGGCTGACTCACCTACACAACTATCCAATCAATACTGTGACGGACTAAAGTGCTTTTTCCTAACATTTTATATCAGCTCTTATTTTATCCACAAGCAGCAATGAAGAACTCTGACTGCTGTTAAAACAAAACCAAAATGTAAAACCTTAAACCTCAACAAACTACAAACACTTGAGGGAACTTTTTTTTTTAAAATATAAAACCCCCCAAAATATGTTTTTTATTAGGATTTTATTTGCTGTAAATTTTGCCCTGTGGGGGGGGGGGGGTATTATTGCGTGCATGTTTATCTCCCTCTGTCCAGGTCCAGCCTCTCTGCCTCCTCTGCTGCTTGCACTAATCTTTTCTCCATTTTTGCTTCTGAAAACAAGCCTGTCTGTTAGAGGCAATAAAAGTGAATGATGTTCGGTGTAATTGTACATCAAACCACCTGCTGTGTGTGTGTGTGTGGTGTGTGTGTGTGTGTGTGTGCTGTAAAAACAGTTTGGCTCAACAGTATTTTAAAAGTTTTTTCATATTGTTTTGTTGGGAATTTTTGTCCTTTTTTTTTTTATGTTTAGTCCTGAACTGCTGAGCTGTTGACAGATCTCATACTTTGATTAATGGATGGAGGCCAGAGTTTGAAATGAGTCATGTTTCTAATTACTGAATTTTGTGTTTTAAAATTCATGCTGTGTATGAGCATTTGACAAAGTGATTTTTATTTCAGCTGAGAGTGAAAGACGTAGCCAACGCGAGGCAACATGTTGGATTAACTTGTGTAAAGTAAAAAGCTTTAAAAAGTTTACTAAGTAAAAGTACACAAGTATAGTCATCAAAATATACTAAAATAAAGTTAGTTAAGCTAAAAGTATTCATTATGCAGTATGGTCTATTTCGGGGCGGATCCTTAGAGAATATCAATGAGGTGGCCGAGGGGGGGGGGACTTTAAGGGTGGCAGAAATATTCTGATTTAATCACAAACATCAATATTTGCTTGGAAAAACCTCCAAATGAAGATATTTTAACTAAAAACATCACATTATTGTGTAAAACATTGGATAGAAATATCCAAAGGTGGCTTTAGAAATCAATGCATTGTTTTATTTCCACTATACTGAACTTTCTAAAGTCTAAAATGGGGCCATAACAGATCATTAAATCAATTTAATGATCTAGATCCCTCTCTGCCCTTTCAGAATAATATATATTATAGTATTGGATTGCAGTTATTGAAGCTTTAATCTGTAAACATCACTTTAATGTTGCAGCTGGTGAAGGTGGAGCTCATTTTAATGACTTTATGTAATTCACTTGTTTAAATTACTTTTAGTTAAGTACAAGTACAAAGTAGCAGAAAATGGAAATATTCCAATAATAAGAGCTGCAAATTGTGCTTTAATACAGTATTTGAGTAAATGTTATTTCCCTCCTCTAGGTAAAGATCAGATGCTGCATTATTGATTGAGAAAACTTTATAACTCTTTATGAGAGTTTTTAAGGAAGATTTTAGCCCCATAACTGTCACTGTAACATTTTATCTCATTAATATGGCAAACTTCAGATTTAGAGATTTAAGATCACAACTGTCCTTGGTTCAGAGATCTTGGCATTCAGTTGGATCTATCATTTCTCCTCTCAGTAAACATCAAGTATTATCTGTGCAACTCTCTGATGTTACTATATTTCTGGAATAAGAAATATCTCATCCCTTACAAATGTAAATGTACATTTATAAGCAATAAAATCCCGCTGTGGTCCGTTCAACACTCTCAGGGGTTTGGCTCAGCTAATGGTGGCTAATGTTAGCAAAGTTAAGATTGATGTAACAGACTAAATCATCTCTATACGTAAAGACATGAAGTGATGGAGTTCATTCCCGACAGTCCATCAATTTAACTGTCGTCCTCTCACTCTGTCTCACACTCGCTCTCGGCCTGCAGGTCGACTCCAGAAGCAGCTCAAGGAGCCTCAGAGGGTGAGGGGGGGGCCCCGGCCGCGGCCCCAAACCTCACCAGCAACAGACGACTGCAGCAGACGCAGGCGCAGGTGGACGAGGTGAGGACACTGCTCTGTGTGTGTCTGTGGTGTGTGTGTGTTCCCCAAGTTCAAGTTCACTACAAACTGTCGAAGGCAACATCGTTACTGAGGAGAACTAAAAGCTCTAATACTAAACATAATTAGACTGTAATTAAATAATGGAATGAAACTCAAACTGGAAATTAGATTAAATTGATCAATAAAGGGAAAGCAGGAACAAGATACAGAGAAGCAGAGAAACATACTATTAACTGAAATTAAGAAAGCTAAGAGTAACTGCGGCTAATGTAAGAAAATATAGACAAATCATTCTTAATGATACCATACTACCATACCATACTAGCTAGGCACTACTGGAGTTGACTCAGTCAGATTTTATCTAGAGAGCATTTGTTCGCTTGATTTCAAGTTGGGAGGCGATGCCGTAATTAAAGATAAAATAACTCAAAGGTTCAAGAAGCTCATCCTGTAATTCAGGGAGGAATAATTACATAAGATCGCAAGATGGTGTCAGCTTCTTTCTCTGTGCTAAAACAGCGTCACTGAACTGTGAAAGTAAAGCAATAAAGCACACTCCCCTGTCTGATGTGATGGCTCGCAGTGTGAAACGCAGAGTAAAGGTCTTTTTAAATATGTAAACTGACCAATTCAGCCCTCATTCACAGAACCTGGATGATAAATGTGTCTCCTGTAGGACCAAAATGAATACATAAACTATTTAATTTCAACAAGATTGCATTCACTGAAATCAGAAGAGGCTGAGCTCTTCTATTAAGTAATTAAATGAAGGTTCTGGTAATGATTTAACGATGTAAAATTTGACATATTGCACCTTTAAGGTTCAGTTTTATTCTCATTATATAACGCAGGATTGCACACTGAAATGCAGCTGTAGCCCCCTTCGTAAAACTATTTATTGAATTTTTTAAATTGTGTATAATATGTGCTATATCACTGTGTATAATGGGGTTAGCAAAGGTAAACAAAGGTGTTTCTGAGGCCGACTTTGAGGAGTTCACAGAAAGCTTTGTGGCAGTGATGCTGACAGGTGTCGCTGTCCCTCAGGTGGTGGACATCATGCGCGTGAACGTGGACAAAGTCCTGGAGAGGGACCAGAAGCTGTCGGAGCTGGACGACCGGGCCGACGCCCTGCAGGCCGGAGCCTCGCAGTTCGAGAGCAGCGCCGCCAAACTCAAGAACAAGTACTGGTGGAAAAACTGCAAGGTGTGTGTGTGTGTGTATACTTGGTTTCCCATCATGCATCGCTCCTATTCAGTATTACCTAAAGACTGAAGGATCCAACCCTCAGTGTTACCACAGCCTATCTGTAATCATTTAATTGTTGCATATATACATAGAGGTTTTTGTGTATTTTTGGAGGCCTGCTGTCCCAGTTCATCAGTTTTTGTCACTTTGAGGAAATGCATTTCACATCTGACACAATAGTTTTATTATATATATTTCTACATGTTCAAATATTTGTTGGAATATTTTGTGCATGACGGATCACAACATTGCAGCAGGTATAATTCAAATGGCTGCATAAATCAGTGAGTTTGATATCTGCTGCAACTGATTGCAAATATGCTTGTATTGAATTAAATTGAATTGAAAGCCTTTAGCAGCTTCGGTAAAAGTGCACACATAAATATCACATAGCATCATACTACAATACATTAGTGGGCAGGTTTTGAATTTAAGATTGAGTATGGTGACAGCTTTTGGGGAAGAAGCTATCCCTGAGTCTGTTTGTTCTGGCCCGTATTGACCTGAAGCGCCTGCCTGAGGGCAACAGGTTGTAGTTGTAGTTGATTTAATAAAATACCAGAGCTGGTAAATATCAATCTGAGAGTTTAAATGCAAATCTAGGAAACAATTGCATGTCTCCACTTGGTCAAAATGGGAAAAATGTGACTCCAGCCAGCTTCTTTCAGCTTACACTGATTAGAAAACATGAGATTTTTGTTGCCAGGAAACGATTCTCTCTGTTTTCAGCTGTGGAAGCAGTTTGTAGTTTAATGCTGCTGTGACAGTTTACCTGTGTATCATTAGTGAACAGAGCTGCCTCACAGACAGGAAGTACATGGCTCGTCTCCTCATCACCTTACTGTAACGTCATCTGCTGATAATAATGAGATTTCATTCTGATTGTTTTGGTTTTCTGAGAGCAAAAACTTGAAATCATTGTGAGAAAATACCAAAAAAAGAAAGAAAGTCAGTCAAGACTAAAGTGCACAGTGACAGAAAACAGTTAGAAAATGCTGCTGTATTCACGAAATATAATAGAAATAAGGCTAAAAAGATCAGTAAACAGGTTTTTAATAATCAGATTTTCTCCGCACAAACACGCCTACAATTATAATGTAGATTTCTGATCTCATTTCATTTTGATTCATTTGACTTCAACCTCCATTAGAAGTGAAACAGAGCTCGTAAACAAAGATCTGGACTGTGAAGCAGTTCATCCTCACTTTCTGCCAGGTTAGAGATTTCTGTTTAACTTCATCAGAAGCTTTAATCCTACTTTAATGGATGCTGAGCTCATCTGCAACTGTTTATTGTGTATTTATTGCATAACTGTGTATTTATTGCAGCTAATAAAACAAAAAGTACCTGAAATGTAACATCATTCCAGACTTTGGTTTAGAGAAACTGCTGTACCTCTGTTACCTGCACCACAGTTACATAATCATAATTAAATTACTGAATGCTAAAAAATACAGTTTTTCTCCTCTGCTCATCAGACATTTATTTTGTCCTTCTTTCTTTTTTGAGTGATGATGGAGGCAGCTTGTGTCTGTCCCACAGGGCAGACACTCTTGAACTTACCAACTAACTTCTCTCACTTGTGTTGAAATGACAGCTGATGTTCTGCTGTTCAAATGCTTAAAACAAGCGGTATATACATTTTCCTGAAAAGCAACCTGTTGTGGTCAGACGAGCGGTAGGCAGACAGGGTCGTTGAGTTTAATATGTTGGTCTAGTCTGCCCGACTCACTGATCCTCATTGAGTCTGTGGCCCCGACCTCGGCTCTGCAATATCCGGAGCCGAACCGTCCTTTGTACTGATAAATCCGCGGCGCTGTCCGTGGTGCTGAAGTAGCTGACGGATTCACAGCCGCGCCCTTCTGTGAGTTTCGTCTTTGATCTATAATATTCTCCAAACTATGTACCATCAGTACTCCATTCTGTACTCAACAGAGTAGCAACACCTTCATAATCAAAGAGAGAAGTAACAACGAGTAGTTGCAGAGGAGCGAGAGGATCAGAGAGACACACTGCCGCTCGTAGTATTCCTATAATATTCATTGTAGTAGTCATTGTGCTTTAATGTGAATTTTACTGCTGTAGATGTTGAAGGTTGAGCTCATTTCAGCTACTTTAAATGCTGCTAATAGTTTAATGCATTATATCCTATGAAAACCACGTATCTCTAAAAGGTCACAAAAACAGCTTTGTGACAAGACATTTTCCAGATAATCCTTAAACAGCTTACTTAAACATTCAAAATCAACACATCTGGACATTTCATTGGACTGCAAAGGTATAAAATCTAAAAAGTAACTAAAGTTGAAAATGTATAAAATGAAAATAGTAAAGTACTTTGAACGTGCAGTTCTTGAGTAAATGTTCTTTGTTACAATCCTCCATTAAAACCAGCTAAAGTCAAAGGAACTTATCGTCCATCTTTATCCCTCATTCACCTCCATCACACATCCATCCATCATCCATCCATCATCCATCATCCATCCATCCATCCATCCATCCATCCATCATCATCATCCATCCATCCATTCATCCATCCATCCATCATCCATCATCCATCCA